CAAACCAACATCAAGCACCGTTTTGCCTACTTCATCCTCTTTGCACTGAGACCAGCCACACCAGACTGCTGTGGGATGGAGAGCCTGGAGAAACGGCAGAAGGACCCGGTGTTATGATACTTTCTTTCTCAGTGCCCTGCCTGTGGGTGACACTGCTTGTGGGATGCACACAGCTGCAATCTCTTCTGCTGGAGGGGAGACACTGAAGGACAGATTTCTAAGTTGCATCACTAAATATGCCCTCCTTGCACAATACCTGCTTTTTCCTTAGACACTCATAATTTGACCTAAGTCTGTAACCATCCATTCTTGTCTGGCAGCACAATGCAATGTGATCCAGCAAAATCCAACACAAAATTAAAAAAGAAATTAAAAAATCCTCATCAAGATATCAAGTAATTAAACTTTTAACATCCTCCTGATTTTAGTATTAAGTAAGTGTAAATAATTATGGTGTTTGGCTCATCTTTTTCCTTGCAAACAATCTATCTAGCTTGGGACATGTCTTCCTCCAGAAGGGACCCAGACTAGTGCTGTCCCTGCTACTCAAGCCACTACATAATGTCTGTCCCAGTGCTGGCAATACCTAGAAACAAAGTTCTTTTTGAAATCTTATACACAAACTGCCAGCTGAAGGTTTCAAGCTGCTTTAATGCATACAGAATGCCAGGAAAATACTGCAAGCCTCACTTTAACCAGAAAAGGAGCCTGAAGGTACCAGCCCAGCAGTGGTGAGCCTGGAGTTGCAATAGCTAAGCCCCATCTGCTCCCTCCAATATTATCCTCACCAGGAAGGTTGGGGAAGGAGAGCAAAACAGCTCCATGCAAGTGATTCTGCTCCTGCCAGCTGTTACATGGCCCACTCAGCCTCTGATAAGACCAAGAAAGGGTCCAGTATTGGCCTTGTGCTTCCCCATCTTTATAAGAGCAGACAGAAGGTTTGGGCTGTAAGATAAGAGATAAAGCTTCAGAGCACCTCACAGCTGTGTTCTACATAGACACTGCCTCCAGCTCTTGGGAAAGTGCATGATCTCTGCTGAAGGTGAAGGTGCAGGTTGTTTCCATGCCAAACACTTAATGTGTGCTGTTTTTGTCACAGTGGATGGTCTTTTGCTGCAGGAGTGGAGGTGGTGGCATGCAAGGAGGAATGCCTTCAATATCATGTGTTTCAAAAGCAGGAGCTTGTGAGCTCTGCTTTGCATTCCAGCAGCTGGGATAGAGCTGCGTGCATGGCCTCGTCAGCACAAATGAAACCAAGGCATCCATATGCTGTACATTAAGAGTGTTTGATCTCATGCTCTCTGGCTTGCTGCTCAGATGCTCCCTCTTCCTCTGTGTAGCAGTCTGAGGAGCACAGAGTCCAGTGTCAAAACCTGTAAGTCTGCATGTGTTTCTGGGCTCTGTGATGGCAACTGCAGCACTTAAAACATTTGAGAAAATGTTGCTGGCCACAGCTACAAAATGTGTTCTCATCTCTTCCATGATGGTGGTGGAAAAGAAAATTCCTCAAGTTTTATTTTCCTGTTTAAAAAATGAAGGAAAAAGAACTGCCAAAGTGGATGGAATTTAGTCCAGCTGATGCAACTCCTGGATTAGCAAAGCAAAATTCAAATCTCCTCCGAGTGCAGGAATTGTGGCCATGCATAGCCAAGGCCACCATGAAGGGTGTAAGGGACAGCTTGGGTAACCCCAGGCTTCCAGCCTGCCACTGGGTGGATTACTGTCACTGCTTACCATGCACTTTCAAGTCAGTTATTGCAGTGGCCCATCAATGTTATATTCTGTTAAGAAGCTGCAGACGCCTCTGATCCACATTAAAGATATTGATAAAAAAGCTGCACTTTGTAGAGGACTTGCTGGCCCCTCAGCATTGCCTCGTGTGGGTTGGGAACTGGGCAACACTGTAACTTGGTAGTGGTACAATGGGGAAGCACAAGCTACAACCAAGTAACAATAGAAATGAGTTTTATTTTGTAAAAAGTTATAAAATGAATATTGTACAAAAATAAAGTCTGTAGAGAACTTTGGTTGATTAACACAAATGACTGAGACATATAATTGCAGGTGAAGTAAAAAAAATCCAGAGAAGCACACTCCTGTCTTCAGTAAGGTCTAAAAACTAAAAAAAAAATAAAATAAAAAAAATCACAAACTTTACCCTTTTGTATTTTGAACAGAGAGATTTGCTTTGGTTGCAGCCTCTTCAAGCTGCACAGAAAATGCTTTGGGGACAGGTTCTCAGCAACTGGGGCAAGGAAAAGCACACCTCTGAGCACTGCCACTGGTCAACTGCCCAGCAGTGCAGCTGACCCTCAGCTTGGCAGGCCTGTACTGCCCACATCATGCTGGTGGTGTCACCACCCCTGCCCAGCATGCAGGGTAAGGTGTCTCCATGGCAGTGTGAGAACAGACCCTGTGGGCGGTTCTCTGGGGCTATCCTCCATCTGCCCAGGATAGGGGTGGAGGTTGGGGATGAATTACATGCCATACACCTGGTACATCTTTCTACGCCTGTTCTGGACTTTTTTTGACCTCTAGACCCTTCTTCAGAGGTGCCCTGAGGGGCCCAGGGCAAAATGAGTATGGAGAGCCATTGCATGCATGAGATAAAAGGCTGGATCATCGTTTTCAGTAGGGATTTTTTTTTCCATGCTGTTTTTTTGTGGGAGTTGATGCTTCATTGGTTGTCAGGTATGTCTAGTGACCTGTACTCTTGCTCCTTTGGGAAAAAAGTCTCCAGAATGAGGGCTTGTGTTAGTGGTCACGTATGAATGTTTTTGCTGTACAACCTCCCTCATCCTAAGGAAATTCGGACTGTTCTGCTGCACAGGTACAATCCTGTAATGTTTCAGCAAATTATACAAAACACTCTGGTTATTTAACACAACTGTTTACTTGCAGGCTATATTAAATCCAGGGCTAACTAGTAAGAGGGCTTTAACCTCTTCTATATGGAAATATGGAAGGAAAAGCTTAAATAGATATAACAAGAAATTATAAGGCTAAATGTGATTATTTTCCATTTGTCAATAGTTATATGAGGTCAGTTGGCATAAAGTGTGAGAAAAAAATGTGGCTACATTTAAAATATGATTAAAATTAGTTTTTCTAAAAAATTGCTAATGTTGAGCCAAGTCCTGCAACCCTCACTCATCCAGAGCGATTGCTGCTCCTGCACGTGTGACTGCAGTAATATTCAAAAGGATTAGTGAACAGGAAGAAGGGCTGCAGGCTTCGGCACTACCTTTTGTGAACATAATTAAAAATTTTGTTTAAAAGAAAAAAAGGTAAAGTAAGTGATTTTTTGCATTCAAGTTAACACTTTCAATCAAAAGCATGGACCGTTGTTCCCAACGTCTTTGTCTCTCTATATCCCCAAGCGCCATCTACTTTGGCACCTTTGAAAGACACTTTAATAAATAAGGAGACTCATTACTGAACTGTAATAAATAACAATAACTTAATCTCAATAAATATCTTCTGTATATTTATGTCTCTGAAGGGATGCATTGCATCAAGTAGTCTCTGCTCACTCACAATGACCAAATAGAAATGTAGTTACGCAAGTGACGTTAGTCCTTTGTAAACCTAAAGAAACGCGCTTTGTGTAGGCCGGGCTTGTTATTTCTCTTACTGTACTAGGAAGAAGTGCTTAAAAACTCAACTGGTTTTCATAGGTAGCAGAAGAATGAAATCCTGCACTCGTTCTGAAGAAACGTGAGATGGAAATAACCAAACATAGCCAGTAAGCAGAACTGTTTTGCTTTTTGTGAGAACTTGAGCCTGGTCATTTTGATATTTGCCCAATATCATCTTACTTACAAGGTTAATCTTATTATAGCTTAGGATTCGTCCTAAGCACTCAGGAACTGCCCTCCAATGAGCAGTAGCACAATGTGTCTTTCAGTAAAGCTGAGGGAACAGGGGATTATTAAGGTATTCCTAAGCTACTTCTTAGCTAAGCTTCTTGGTATAACTGGTATATGATGGTATAACTACAACACAGCGTGATATGGCAGGGTTGTGTTTTTAAGCACATTCCTCATGGATTGAGTCTCACTGATGGTGGACTGAGTCAAACAGGAAAGGTAGTGTGCACACCATCCATCCATCGGCATCTCCACCTGAGTTTTTATATAAATCCCCATTGGATGTCAAAAGTCTCCATCCTTCTACTCTGCCTCATGCTCCCCCATCCCCAGGCTCTCATGGCTCCTCGTTCTGCATTCTTGGTCCTTTTTTCTCCACTCTGAGCAGACGCTTTCCTGGGAACGTTGGCTCTGCAGCGTAGCAGGAAGGGAAAACTGGTGCCGCCTCTGGCATGCAGCTGTCAGACGCATCCACACCTTTTTGCGGAATGTTTTTTCAATATGTGGTAAACCAGGTTATCATCCAAAAAGGACAGGTCATCATCAAAGGCTGTGGGTCTGCAACAAGCTTGCCTCACTTTGTCAGTGACCAGTTTTTTCTTTTTGGTTAAGTTTTTTAAAATTTTGTCATAAGTGGTCTCAGCTGCATCACAAGATCCACTGCAATACCGGAAAATTAGCTCTTCTTTGGTTTCATATCCCAAATCCAAGTCGGTCACGTTTAAATGTATTTCTGTTAAGACACATCCTCGATTTCTGCCCTTTTGATTCCTCCTTCCCTTTTTGCTGGAATTCTCTATGTTCATGGCTGCATTTTGACGGTTCCTCTCCCGCCTAGAAAAAATCGGAGTCTGTTTATCTGGAGACCTCCTCAGTCTTTTAATAGTGGCTTGAATAAAGTCCACTACCTCATCAAACTGATCTGGATAATCCTCTGGCATATTAGCTGTTTGGGAAAGAGAGAAAAGGCTTTGTCAGATGTCAGTTGTCATTAAGTTTGTCCATTCATAGCTCAAAAACACTACACACATGCAAGCTGTTCTGCCCATCACTTTAGAGTGCCCACCCATGACCCTCAGAAGTCAGGGAGAACCTGGGACGGTTTAGATCATAATGGAAGCTCATTTGGGAAAAAATAAATGAGATATGTAACTCTGTAGGTGTCTGCTGATGCTTGGTAGCACTTCAGCACATCTTTCAATATTGAATGAGCCCTGTCAAAACCGAGGGAAGGAAAAGCATCATGATATAAACAATAGTTAACAGGCAGATGAAGCCACTGTAGAGAGGTTATACAGGGTCTTCCCACCAAAGCAGCAAAAGGAAGAGGTTTCTTTAAAGTAATTTTGTGATTATAATTGTTAATTGTTGCCTTTTCACACCAGCAGCAGTTAGTAGTGCCAAAGCCACCTATTGATAAGGTTTTTGGGCATGACAGAAGGAGGAATTTCCTGGGGTACCAGGCTGAGATATTATTCCTGGCTGAATGCCTGGTTTTTTTACTGCTTCTAAGGGACAATTGTTATCAGAGGTTTTGAAAATTTTCTCATGGAAGTATTTTGTATCACAAGATGCTGATTAGACTGAGTAGAAATAGGTCAGAATAGAAATATTATGTTAATTTTCAAGGTAAATGTTATTAATGTGTTTTCATTAGATGGAAATGTAATTTTTAATTTATTTAATTTTTCACATGCTATATACCCTACCCAGTGATAAATTATTCAGGTAAATTCAATGATGAAGTCAAATAAAATGTTTTGATACTAGCCAAATGAACCTCTTCAAGGAGGGTGAAATTAAATGTGTTCTGAATTGTTCCCAGATTTCAGCTTTTTATCATGATTTGGAAAAAAATCACATTTCGAGGTCCTCAAGCTTCCCATAGACTAATCCCTCAATGTGATCTGCTTTAGTGAATACTGAGAACTAATGGAGGGTCAGGGTGTCAGGAGCCTCTGTGTAGGTGCCTTTACATCACATTATTATTGACTGTCTCTGAAACACATAAACTACATTGCCATATTGAGATTTATTTTTTGTTTCATTCATTGTGCCAAAAATTAAGACTTGAGGACTCACTTCCTTTTCAGTAAGACCTAAGAGGATGCTTCTTTTTGCACTTAACTCCTAAGAACCCAACATGTAACAGACCAGTGCCACCCTGGCCCTGAGCATATGGGAAGTCCACCTCTAGGACTCCTACAAATATTGCAGGAACTGCAAACATTGAGAGAGGTAATATCCAATGCAGTGCAGCTGGCCAGGGGTTGTCACCTTCACTGAGCCACAAAGGTTCCCACCCAGTCAGGTGGCCATATGGGAATGACCTCTTAGGCACAAAGGCTCAGCGTCACATTTCCTAACGAATGATGTAGGACAGGAGCCCCAGTGGGCAACAAGGCAGCACATGTATCCAGCTCACATGTGGTGGCATGGACTCTGTTAACAGGGGAGGGGAAGACATGAGGCTAACTCTGTTAGTGCAAAAACCTGCTGAAACAGCGTGCATCTGCATGTAAGGAGGAACATGGACCGCTACCCTAAGCAGCCACATCCTAGAGGTCCCCTTCCAAGGCAAAATAGTGAAGGATTGAAAGCATAGATTTTTTTTCATGGATGGATCCAGCTAAACAGTTTAGAAGGGTAAGAGAATAATAAAAGTTGGCAATCTTGTACCTTCAAACAATGAGATTGAGACAAAGGAAGTTGGATGCTATAAACTGTAAAGTTTGGATCCCGAAAAAGGGAATTACACTTTGTTTTACAGATACCCATGCTAAAGACAGCAATCTCACAGATCAATGTCTGTCCAAAGACATGCAGGAGGGATGGCTGCTATCTATACAGCTATGTGAAACCTGAACAAGGCAGGACCCTGCACCCAGCCCCATATTCCTGTGACACTAATGGTAAGTGTAGCCTTCTTGCACTGCTCTGTCATTATTATCTCTGTAGCAGGTACCAAATGTGAGCCATACCTACTGGAGGGGGTTTCTTAGATGGTTGTGTCCATTGGATGCACCACCCTACTCTATTGCAGAACAGGCTGGCCTGCCTACACCGTATGAATATTGCTCTACTGAAGAAGACCCAGGTCAAGGTGATAGGTGGGCTATGTTCCTTTAAAGCAAGAAGAGGGACACACATTGCTAGACTCAGTCACAAAAGATGACCCACATGCTGCTGGCATAACCCCTATTGCTGAAGTACAACCTTAACCCTGGCACAGATACAGATGGAGAGGAGTTGGCAGAATGCTCTTGTGGCTCTGGGACTGGGTAGTTTCTAGGTTTCTTACACAGAAACTAGGTTTCTTAGTTTATAACTCAAGAAAGGAAGGATGTAACCTCGAGGAGATGGCTCTAGCTGTGCCATTCTCCACTCTCACCTTCAACTTACCCTTCTCACACTACTGTGACTACCCCAGCTCACATCTCTGTCATATACTCCTAGCCCAACCCTTGTAGCAACAGTATGAGGCAATGAGACCTTGGCTATGGAGAGTGAAACAGAGTTGTGAGGGAAGCATATGAAGGCTTAACAAATTTCATGCAATGGTCATTCAAAATTCATCATGAAGGGGACAGGAGACTGTTACAGTGAAACCCAACCTATATGTGAAGTTTGCAACCTTCAGCCTCATACTTACCTCACTGCCAGTGCAGTGAGGGGAGTAAGTGTTCCTCACCTAAGAAGGCAGAAACAAAACTGTGTATTCCCTGAAGAGTTAACAACCCAACTGGATAAAAAATTTTTTAACTGCTTGCAATTCAGGTGAAAAATACCATCTACCCCTGTAAGAGTGCTACAGGCAAGATTCTATGTTGGTGATATACTGATCAGACAGCTATTGTGTTCAAGCACTGTCCTGCTCAAGTCAGGACAATCCAAGTATGCCCTGAAGGGTAGTAGGCAAGAGGAGGAAAGGCCCGTCTGGTGGACTGTGTCCCTGCTAAAAGCTCACATGGACATCTCCCCTGGTTCATGCGTGATCACTACCCTAGCTACACCAAGGGAGCTAATGCCACAGAGACCCTTCACTGCAAGTGGCCTGCAATCTTTCAGGTGGAAGAAACACACCAGGAAAGAGTCCCATGCGACGCTGCTAATGTAGGTATAAGGTGTTAACACTGCAGAAGGTGGGAGCAGTGGATCAAGTAATCAAGCCAACAGTGTATCCAACTAGAAAAGCCCTACCTACACACATGGACTAGCTGCACCCAGAAAATGGAGTCATTGGCAGCATGACTGATCCCACTAATCTCACTGAGGCTCTAACACAAACCATGCAAGAAGTGTTCCAAGCTGTATCTAATGGAGCTGGGGATCCCTGCTCAGCCCATCCCCTATTGCAACACCAGGCCTCCTGGGAGACTCACTGGGAGAAATGCCAGCACTACGAGTAAGTTGAATTCCAATTTTCTGTCTCCAGAGTGGACTTTCTTTTCAGCCCAGGGGATTGGAAAATACCCCGTGCAGATATCCAAATCTATCAGAAGGACTCCTGCAGTGACCCCTCCATACCTGGAGATTACATCACTAGAAAAGACACAAGGCATGTGGGTGATTTTAGGGAACTGGTGGAAACAGTAGGCAGAGAGCTCCTCTGGAGAAAATGTGCTAGAACTCTTGACCCCAGTCAGTGTCTGTCCACCTACAACTACATGTGCTGTTACAGGCTGTATGGGTACACCACATCAACACCATAGCAATTGCATTCTGGGCTACTCAGTGAGTCCCTGCAAGTTTCTGTAAGCTACAAGCCCCTATGCCTGTGGAGCCCCAAACTAGTCACGAACAATGCAGCAATGCTCTTTGGGCAGCTTCCAACTGCACTGCCAAGGTACTCCAAATTTTATTCTATAATTTAGCACTGTCTGAGGAACACCTCCAATCTGCACAATCAGCTAATTTTCTGCTGCTTAGTCTGAAGCACTGTCATCAGTGTGACTACAAAGAGTCACTAGGAGTGGCTCACAGGGGTCTGGAGGAAACCTTGACAACCAGGAGTGAAGGGAGAGTTGCCTTAGCCCTATGCTGAGGTGCCAGTCATGACTCAGTAGGGATATTCAGCTGTCCAACAAGTATGGGTGTGAAGCCTGAAAGCCTTAAACAAAATGCTGTAAAAACCTGCTGAAATAGGACCCGAGGCAACCAAGTGGAAACACCAGCACTGACACCAGGAATGATGGGTTGAAACAAGGCACTAGAGGTAAGTGCTAAGGAAGCTACCACCAGACATCATGCATGAATAAGCAATAACCACTGACCAAGGACTAAACACCTTAAAAGGCTAATGGACAGAAGGGAAGGTGGAGAAGAGTGACAGCAGGACCTCCCCATCCTGATGGGCACTTGTAGATGTGCTCTAGGGATGTCGAGACCTCTCTGCACCACAGACACCACATGCTGAGCACTTGTTTGGTCTCTGCACTGTGGTAAGTGCTGCTGGGGACAAAGGGAGTGCCAAGTTGAGCTGCATGGCCAAGAAACATTACTGCACTCATAGGGGCTTTCTTGGCATCAAGTGCTGTTTTGTAACCTGAGTAAAACCACTCGATTGAGGGATACTTTGTTACCTCTCTGCCTCCAACATTGTTTATAAAATGTTTATGGTCTCACCATAGCTTTGTTTCTGTCATACTGCATGGACTGCCCTGATTTGACTGTGCAGCAGACAGAGCTTTCTGTGAGGATTTCACACCCCTGAGAAAAGCAGAAACACAGTTTGCATGTGTGTATATGTGTGCTGCATTTACACATACACACAAATACATCTAGTTATACACACATACATATTTTTTCAAAACAAACTAGTTTACTGACAACACTTGCCTTCTGGTGGAAAAGCTGAGAGAACAAACACATGACAGATGCTTGTCACATTGTGCAATGTGCCAGCAGAAAAGACTCAAATACTACAGCAATAAAAGCAGTAAAGGT